AAAAGTCCTTCCATGGCCACAAGGATGCTTCTTTGATCGTGACAAGAAGATGCATATTGTGGATACAGGGAAGTTGGTACATTTAGCTGTCTTTTGCCTAAGTTATTTAGCTGAGTAATGCCTGGAGCTATCTTATTCAAATATTGTTATGTAAATATGCTAGCAGTTGGCAGTGGAAGTGTCATGGTATTGCATAGAGTTATAAAGACTTTCCTTATTTTTCTTTGGAGCGTTTCTGCAGTGTCTGATAGCAAGCTTCTAGTTTGAGTTTCTGCTCTATAATTGGATGAGAAGATGCTAACTGCCCTGGGGAATACCTCAAAAGGCATGGTTACTGGCGAGCCTAGCCAAAGATATTTTCAGATGCGGGGAGGCGAGAGCTATTAAAGGGGACAGGGTGAGGCCAGCTGCCTTTCCTCAGAGCTTGCAGCAGGGAGGGGACACTGAGCACCTCTTCTTAAGAATATCAACAATTCCTTTGCAGTGTTAAGAAAACATCTAGAGGAAAATTAAAAGGACTCGGGATGGTTTGGAAGTACACAGCCAGCTTACACACAGGTACTTACATAAGACACTTAAGAAATGAGAAAGACAAAGGGGCACAGTATGGAGTGCTTTATCTATATGAAAATATTTGCTTAGTAGCATTGAAGAAATGTAAAAAAGTTTATTAGCTACTTAGGATGGCTACAAAATCCAGGTTACATACTTTTAATCAATAAGAACATTTGGCTATATGAATATTAGCGACTAGTTATTCTTAAGAGTCTCATGAATCTTATGATTCATTTTTCCATGAATGTTTCAGATTTATTCTCTTGTTACACAATCTCACCCCATATTAGTTTTCACACAGTCATTTTTGAAATGTCATGATTCATGGAAATGTGGTGTATTGGAATATATTGTAAAATGTATTGTTAAAATACCAACAGTTATAAGAAAAATGACCATAACTGATAAAATGTTCCTTTAATCACTAAATTTTTGTGTAAGAAATAAGTTGTCTTATTTGTGTGGAAATATCCTCTACACTACATGTGTGCACTTCATAAGATTAAGGAATGTTATAAAAAGAGGAAAAGCTGGGTGGTGGTGGCACACACTTTTAACCCTTGCACTCAGGAGGCAGAGGCAGGCCGATCTCTGTGAGTTTGAGGCCACGGTGGTCTACAAGAGCTAGTTCTAGGACAGGCTCCAAAGCTATACAGAGAAACCCTGTCTCGAAAATAAGATGAAAAAAAAAAAAAAAGGAAATAGCTCTAACTTAGGTTTACTCAAAGAGGCCAAGTGTATCTACAGTGACCAATAAATGAGTTTAAGATCATTGATGTGATGTAGAAATTCGTGACGATTACAGTGGTTATAAGTTTGTTTAGGGACTGTGACATGAGTTTATTTCTCAGATCCGGTGAGGGTGAGAACTGACCCTTCAAAGTACTCTGGCTTCCACATACCCATGCAGCACTCACTGCAAATAGATAGATAGATGATAGATAGATAGATAGATAGATAGATAGATAGATAGATAGATAGATAGATAGATAGATGATAGGTAGATAGATAGATAGATAGATAGATAGATGATAGATAGACAGATACATAGATGCAGTGAATTTTTTACAGTTCAGTTAAGGAGAAAGGAATCATCACTGTAAATTATAGAAATAGGATAAAAAGGTAGATTATTGAATCTACTTTTAAACTCATGGGCATCTTGTACTAAAACTATGCCTCAAGACTATAGAGACTCGGTTACAGCAGTCTTGGAGCCTGGTTCACAATTACACTGGAGGACCTGGAGGAAAGTAGAGGCTAAGACCATTGTGCAATGAAATAGGGCTAGAGGCATGTAAATCTCCCAAGACCAACTTCTTGGAGTAGGAGATTATGCTAATGTAGAAAGGCAAGCTCCATATGATGACCAAAGCCTGGTTTTATATCACGCAGCAGCTTTGAATGCTTGGGACAGAATTGAAATAGTAGGAAAGAAGATTGTATTTACTAAAGTAATACAGGCCCAAAAAGAAACTTTTATGGATTTCTTATAAAGACTGACTTCAGCAGTAAATGTGATACTACATTCAGACGCTAGACAAATAATAATTCAAACTCTGGCTTTTGAAAGTGCTAATGTACAATGCAAAAGGGTAATTAGGCCATTAAAAGCAAGATCAGCACTCTTGGAGGGATGGATCTGAGATACAATCAATATTGAATCTCATAATCATGATGATTCTTGGCTAGTGTTAGGAAAAAAAAAATCCTAAGATGAGCTGCTCTGCCAGCTCACAAAATCAAATTAAAACAGATTACACCAGATTAAAATGCCCATGGTTTATTAAGTACAGTTGTCTCGGGTGGCCGAGAGCATGGCAGGGGCAACAGAAAACCGGGGAGCACATGCAAACTCTGGACCAGCAGTCCTTCTCTGGAGGCCTACTTAAATACCCTGTGGGTGTGGTCAGGACCTGGCATGCTGGGATTTGGAGTCCAGACCAACACAACTCCCAGGACATGGGGCCGGGATGGATGCCAGGGGCTGGGGTGAGGCTCCCAACTTACATTACAGCTAGGAGAGGTGATTTCCAGAGGTTTGAAGAAAAACTGAAATGTCAAGTGTTTCAATTGCAGTAAACAAAGGTAACTAAAAAGGGATTGTAAACAGGACATTCCTAGAAACAATGTTTTTTTTTTTTGTAAGAATAATCCAAACAGAATGCCCCCTCCCTTCTGGATTATGCAGAATGTGTGGCAAAGGTAGGCATTGGATTAATAAATGTAGATCAACAAGGGGCAGTCAAGATAATCTTTTGCCTTTGGGAAATGCCTTGAGGGGCTTCTTACAGGTCAAATTCAGCTTAGTCATTTCTTGTCAGTTTGGAGGAAACTCCTTCCCAGAGCAATTAAAAAGCCTAATGCCTATTGTTAAAAAAAAACCATACTGCTCTGGATATATAGATATATCTAGATAGATAAAAGATAAAACAAAAATTTCATGAGAAACCATAAATCAAAATTGATAGAGATCAGATTAACCACTTTCCCAAAGTTAGAGTTGGGGCAGGGTTGTTTGTTTATATTTATTTATTTATTTAGTCTTTTCAGTAAAATGAAAAGGAACAACTTGAGGAATTTAAAGACCTTTGGACAAATAAGCATCCAAAGAAGAATGAAGAACTACCAGGAAAAATTACCAAGAAAAGGTATAATCTGACCTAATGTGATCTCTGAAGTCTCCAAAAAGGTGATAGGGATCCCACAACAGTGATTCCATCAGGACTATGGTAACACCATTGAGCTGAAAAACACCATCTAAAGATGGACTTTGGTCTACAAACTGCTCAGAACAATTTTGAGGTAACTGACTAGTGGAGATAATCCAGCCTCACAGACTACTTCAGCCAGGACTTGAGACAAGTCTTGTATTTTCCCATTATGCAGAGACTGGACAACAAATGATACAGATACCTCTCCCAGAACTTGACATTTAGCACATATTTTTCAATTCAGGATCCTCTAAAAGATACCATTGCCCCAGAAAGCAGGAAGTAAATTCAAGAACATGACATTCACATTCCCAAGAGGTGGGGTGAGTGGTTTTTGGTTGTTCAATGGGTGATGGATATTTGTCATCATTTAGAGTGATTGGGTACAAGTTCTTATTGGTAATGGTCAGGAAAAAAACCTGAACAAAGGAGTTTAGATTCAGGATTTTTGCTTTGAAAAGAAAAAAGGGGTTATAGATCTAGAAATTGAATAAAAAGGTAGATTATTGAATCTACCTTTGTACAAAAAAGCAACTACCAGTATTAAATATTTTACATTGATATAGATTTCTGTATATTGATATAAATTTAATATTTTTGTTAGAACATACTGTACATACATTTCTAATCTTGTTCAAGGTATTGTACCTACAGCTTACTTAACAATGTAATGCAAATTTCTAGTCCTTGAAAGTTATTATGGTCAACTATTTAGGATAATAAGGAAATTCAGGTTAGTAATTAGTCACCTATTACAATCAAACTTGTAGTCATATTAACTATGTTTTCAAGATCACACAGAGATGTAGTTTAGATAGACAGGTCATCTTCAAACACTTCAGAGACGTATAAAATATGTCATTTAAGATGCTTTAATGAAACATGGCTCTTTTTTATGATGATGAGACACGTTGAAGAAACTCCACATGGCATGATGTGAGATGCCCTTCTGCATACGTGTTGCTTTTACTGGTTGATGAAAAGCTGTTTGGACCAATGGCTTAGCAGAGTAAAGCCAGGCAGGAATCAGAACAGAGATAGAAAGAGAGAGTAGGCAGAGTAAGAGATGCTGTGCAGCTGCCAAAGGAGGCAGATGTCATGTATTCACCTAAGATGCAAGAGGTAACAAACCATAAGCCTTGTGGTAAAACATAAACTAACAGAAATGGGTTAATTTAAGATGTAAGAGCTAGTCAGAAATACTCCTGAGTCATTGGCCAAGCAGTGTTGAAATTAATATAGTTTCTGCATGATTATCCAGGTCTGAGCAGCCAGGAAATGAATAAGCAGTCTCTGCCTACAACAAAGTTTGCTTTCTTTGTGACCAGAGTAACCCCCTGGGCAAGAAAGTGCTCTTGCCTTGACTGCTGACAATATGCTGTCCACATTGTACTGATCCTACGTCTACTCCATGACTCTCCAAGTGTCTTGCTCCGATCCACCCTCTTTCCTAGACAGTAAATGTTCAGAGAGGAAGTTGCTCCCAGCGTGGTTGAGATACTGGTGGACATCACAAAGTAGAGGGGGAATGTTTGACACTAGTGAGACTTTGCCTTGTTTCCTTAGAAAAGGAGGAAGAATACTGGTAAATCAGGGCAAGAGGGTGAGTGACTAATTTGCTTGTAAAGGCCACCGCTGACTTTCATTTCCTACCGTGATGGAGGGCTGCTGAGTGTTAAGGTGATTTGAAAAGGCAAGCGGGATCTCACAGAAATGCTCCATGCTAAGATGTACATCAAAAACCATACTTTATTTTATGTATAGCAATACAATTTACATATTAAATAACACTATAATAGAATGATTTGATATAGTTTAAAACAGAAGGAAAAAGGGAAAATTTCCAGGTTATAAAACCCCTGCCCCCACAGAACAAATCATTTAAAAAAAAAATCACTTTTTCCAAAATGAGTCAGTGCGACACATGTACTCGGGAACTAGTCATGTCTACCTGCTATTGCACTAATGGTTGATGGGATTAAAAAGCAAGCCCGACTTTCACAACCACGGCCTCAAAGGAGGAACACACGTTGGATTCTCTTGGAATGCAAAGATGGCTCTCGCTACTTCAGTACACAGAAGGTCACATATTCACCACGGAAACAAAACATAACAAAACAGAAAACTATGACACAGTTGAAACTAGAAAAGAATTAGCTTTATATGAAAATATAAAATTCTATGATTATATACCAGAGATACAAAGTTCCCAGGAGATGCTTACTCAAGCAACAAAATATTTACAGTTTTAATGATTTTAGCTATTTGGAAAGGAAGTGAAAGAAACAGGCTTCGACATGAAGATGGGATCTTTAGAAACAATGGCTGCTTGCTAGTTTGTTTCAAATGTCCTAACAAAAGAGGAGTCACTACCCCAAATGTTGGAGAGTTACGACATTTTATAAAATTGACTGTCTCCTTTTCTGGAGATGTTTATTTCTTAAAACTCAAGATATTTTTCTTGAAATTAATTATCCTCTGTAGAAAATGCTTCCCTTTGCAAATATTTAACAAAAATACTAAAAACATTTTAACAGCTAAGACAAAAGTAGAGGCCAAATGTCATTATAATTTCTTATATATATATACTTTTTATCATGCCTTCTTTCTAGAGATAAATAAAGCCAATATTGTGTGTGAGTGGTAACTAAGGGAAAATGCAAAGGGTTCTGTGAAAGTACAGCTGCTGTAGAGAAAAAAAGCAGGCATTTTCCCTTCGTATAAAAATTTACTGGCACCATTGGAACAGAAATTTTAGAACACAGGGGTTAAAAATTTTCCAGTGGAACTGTAAAAGCCTTAAGACAACTACATTATGCTTACTTTTTCTTAAATTACGATGCATTTGGGTTTTTTTATTTTTATTTATTTTTTTGCTTAGAATTAGTTATGTGTATCTTTGGTAAGTTGGTATCTATATTTTAATTTTAAATATAGCATATATGCAATTAAGAAAAAGTCACGACAAGGCAGCTGTGCTGTGCCTTTATAAAACAACTCAGGTTACTTACGGATTTCATTGTCCCTCGAACACCATAAGCCCTCTTCCATCTTGAACACTCTACCGGACTCTTCTATTCACAACGGGCTCTCAAAACTTGCACAAAGATTAGGAGAATCACTGAACTAACTGTACTATTCTTGAAGCTCAGAAGGTAACTTATGATAAAAAAAAAAAGAATCATTAAAGATGGTCTCATGGTTTGAGGTACAAGAAACTTTTCTGATGTCTCTAATACATCTCTGATGTCCAGCGCGTCCACCTGACCTAACTTTAACAATTCAGCTTTGTTTGGTGTGTGTCTTTCATTTCCCTAGAGGTAAATCTTACATGCAAACAGCATCTTAGAGACTTACACACTAGCCATATCCCTTCCCTTTGACTGCAAGTGGTTATAACCTTATTATGTACTTAAGCAATGTGCTTATGTCTCAAAGAAAACATCTTTGGAACTCTCTGCCTCTGGAAAGATGCAAAATGTCTTTTGCCAATAACAAAGACTAGTGAAGATACAAAAGGACTGAGGACGGCTGATGGGGACTATCCTTAGTGAAGGGGGTGTGGACCACTTTGGCAAAATGGGCACATAGCAATAGGCTGGAATCTACACGCTTTGATTCAAGCCTGCTGTAGATATGCACAGAGAGCTTCTACCCCGTCTTGATTTTATTTCTGTCGTGGTTGTTTCATCCCCCTCTTTTCTCCTTATTCTCGCACTCACGTAAGAGACAGTCCCAGAGTTGTGGGGAGTATGCAATTCCACAAATCCAATCTCTTGTGTGAATAGCACAGAAAGTAATACTTGCTATTTGTCTTCTAATCAAGGCTGCTTTTATTAAGGGAACATTGTGAGACCATGAACTCCAACTTGAATGTTAATTCCGAAGCATCTAACTGAAGAGCATCGGCTAATATCAGATCTGCGTACAACAAAAAGAATCTGTTTAATTGGCTAGAAAACTCCACAGTCTGAATCTTTTCCTTTCTAGCTCAGCGCTAGAGTTGGAGCGACAGTCAGTCCTTCTTTGAATTGTGCAGAGTGACACCTCTGGTGGGGTCAAGTGTGTATGTGTGTGTGTGCACACACGCATGCGCATGTGCGTTGGTAAATGTGCTTAGTGTGCTATCTGGCACAGACACCTTACAGACCATGTTTAGCCATTCGTGAAAGCCAGGCTCTCAGTTCTCCGTGTGTTCAAAAGCCTAGTTTATCCTGCACAAAGTATCTTCATGGAACTCTTTGGGTCTGGCCCGTGCATAGAAATCCTTGGACTTGGGCTGTGACCCCCTCCTTAGCAGCTCTGGTTCTATAGTACATCCTTGATTAGTTTCAGACAAGCAGCTCACAAAGAACAACGCCTCCTTCCCATTGCAATGCTGCCCCAATAGTGACAGCAGGCGCAGGGTCTCAAGGTAAAGCTTACTGGCATAGTAAGGCCACCAAACCCTGTTCCCTTCGTGGGCCCAAGCTTGGGGGATGATTTTGAGTCTGACAGAAGCTGACCTTCAAAAGGAGACGGGAAAAGGAAGACACGGATCTTGGTGAAAAGTTTAGTGGGACTTGTTTGGTTGAAAACAAACTCAAATGAAATCTCCTAATAATGCTTCCAGTTTTCCCATAATGTACTATGGGCTGAAAGCCATTCCAGCTGGACCTAGGACTTACTGACGACTCTCCCCACTTTTACTGGTGTACATCTGCTCATGAATATCCACAAACCTTCTCATGAAACCTACTCTACAGTGGAGATGTCACCCTTCATTCAAAACTGGATCTTCTCTTTAAAACTCAAATTTCTTCCTCCAAATAAGACTGCTTCAGCTGTAGGAATTTCCCAAATATATTTCCAATTCAATCTTAAGTAGAGTATGTATGTAATGTAGAGATTTATTATGAAACATTTGGCAAAACAATAAAGAAAAGAATGCTGTCTATAGGTAGTTTTTTATTAGATTGCTATAGGAGTAGTTATTAGGGATTTTTTTTGAATACTACATATAAATTTAAATACCTATTTTTTTTTCAGTTGTTGGAGCTACTGTGAGGTATGGTACTATACCAAAAAGTCTTAGAGGAGATTAACTAAAATCCTAAGAAAACTGTACGAAACAGTGCCACCTTTCCGTTGTAAGAGACAGCCCCGATTTTAGGGTGCAGCTACTTCAGAGAGTCAGGATGGAAATAACACACACTGTCCACATAGCTACTGTGAAATCTGTAATACAGAATGATTCTTTATTTTGACACATTTCAACTGTGAATATAACTTGGTAACTAAGAGGAGATGTTCACATGAAGCAACTCTTCAGCCCTCTTCACTTCTTAGTGGATCCCTCAACCATTACACATGGAACTGACATGAACAGACTTCTTAGGGGCTCCCCTCAACCTGCGGTCCTGCAATAGGAAACGACGCCCATCCACTCCATGAAAACAGAAGGCGTATAGTACTGAACGGTGCCTAAAAAAGAGGGGGGCCGAGAAAAAGACAGTGTTGCCTGCTAGAAAAAAATGCAGTCGCTTTAGAATAATAACAAAACTGAGGTTCCTTGTCATAACCAAGACCTTCACTGCACGGAACTAAAGAGGAGCATGTATGTCGCCATGGAATGTCACATCAGGGTTTGCTGTAGTATTAGGTTATAGGCAGTAACACTGATCAGATAGTGCAAACTGGGTGAAGTTGCGGTTCACTGTGTGAAATGAACAGGTGCATATGCTCACTAGGATACCATTAAGACATAAAATGGCAAAAAATAAATATCAAAACTTTTATCAGTGTAAAAAAGTAACCGGGTTATTGTATAACCTAGAGTCTGGCAAAAAAGGCCTCAAAAAAGTTCTGTCTTTACAAGTCTCAGAAGTTTACAAATGAAGTGCCCTTCCCGGGGGTCCAGTCACACCAGAGACTCCATGCTCTCGGCAGGGTCTGATTCTTCTCCGGTCAGCACAGCACCATTTTTGTCCCCTGTCATGGGACCGTTTCCATTTTCTTTAGTGCTGACTAAGCTGAGCATTGCTTTGTAGACAAACTGGTATTGTTCCTGGAAGACAGGAAAAGAACCACGGGTCAGACATTTTATCTAAGACGCAAACACTGATCAGAAATATGTACTAGGAAGGCTGCTTGTTCATTCCCAGCTGCCCAGACCCGAAATAATCACTCAGAAACTATATTATTTAAATCACTGCTTGGCCAACCACTTAAACATATTGCTAGCTAGCTCTTACATCTAGTAGTAACCCATTTCCATTATTTTTTATTTTACCTTGAGGCTCGTGGCCTAGGGCAAGGTTCCAGCTGGTGGCCTGCATCTTTCTCCTCTGGTAGCTCCAATGGTGTCTTCTTGACTCTGCCTTCTTTCTCCCAGCATTCAGTTTAGTCCCCGCCCCCCAGCTTAGCTCTATACTACACTATCACAGGCCAAACAAAGCAGTTTCTTTATTCATTAACCAATAAAAGCAACACCTATACAGAAGGATTTCCCACACCAGAAATATACTCCTAAAAAGCACTCTCAGAGAGACAAGAACAGCAGAAATCTTATTAAGAAACTTTAATGGCAGCCACATGACTCAGTGAGTTCTATACCTTCTTCATATCCTTCTGGTCTAGAACCTGTTTCAGTTTGTGGCTCATAAGATAATGGAATATCCCTATTTTATAACAGTACAACATTCTACTCTTAAGCAAAGTTTTTTTTTGTTATTAGTGGTGGCTTTTGTAAAACTACATTACTGATATTTTGGGCTAGATACTTCTGTGTTGGCAAGAGTTGTCTTGTGTGTGGCACAGTGTTTAGCAGCAGCCTTGGCCTTTATACACTAATTGCTACAGACTTCCATCCAGTTGTGAAAAGCAGGAAGTCTCTAGATATTGCCAGATTTCTCCCGGTCGACACCCGTAGTTGAGAACCCCTGGCCTATGGTACAGATCTGAGGATCATGTGATAGGTTTGACATAGACACAAACTACTTACGATGTCTGTGAATACTCCAGGTCTCATAAGGTTGATCATTTTTGCCACCTGGAAGACATCCACAGCATTTTCGTTCTCCAGCTGCTGGGACAAGGTGGTAAGGGCACATAGCATTCCTGCAGAAACTGCTCCATACCTGGGAAGGAGAAAAGGAGGATGCAATCTCAGATGTATGAGCAGACTGCATGCAGCAGATGCTAAGGACCAGCACGTACTTTCTTAGGAATTAAGTAGGCTTGGTTGGTGCCTATTTCAGAAGGCAAAACTGAATTAGACAGGGGGAGGGATGTAGAAGTTTACATAGAGGTGACATTTTTGCCAATTGCTCTGATAGAAACTCAGCTTGACATCTAATAGGGAACAAGAGGTTCAAAAGCAGACCTGGAAACATTGTTGATTTAGTGTTGCGTAAGTGGTATTACAATAAATGAAAAAAAAAAAACCAATATGAGAAGTGTGACTGCTTCCTATTAGATACACAGAAAGTGCTATAAGGTTGTCAATGATTGTAAGCATATCGAGTGTCCATTTGGTTGTGACCCTAGCCTTAATAGCTGAGCCATATCTCCATCCCTTAATCAGATAAACTGGACTTAAAAAAAATCATTCACCCCATAATGATGTTTTGGCTAACCATAGACTACATTTATGATGAGCCTGAAAGATTGCAGTGCAGTTGAGACTTCCTATTGCCAGTGACATCACACCATAGAAGCATTCTAGCTGAGCACGATGTTTGTGGCAATGCGTGTTTACACTGATGACTTTGATGTCAGTCATATACAGGGAAAGCAGGGGGCTACACTCACACTGCGATGTTTGCACAAGAGAATTTCTATGAGCTCATGGCTATCACTATGTATGAATATATGCGGCTCAATCGGAATCAGAACTTTGTTTTGTTTTTTGAGACAGGGTTTCTCTGTAGCTTCGGAGCCTGTCCCAGAACTAGCTCTTGTAGCCCAGGTTGGCCTTGAACTCCCAGAGACCTGCCTGCCTCTGCTTCTCTGAGTGCTGGGATTAAAGACCTGCACCACTGCTTCTAAAACTAATTTCACATTACATTTCAAAGATCCTGCCTCAGGCCCTCCCTCAAAGTGAACATCACCTGTCCACAGTCTTCCCAAGTGGCATACTAATTGCTTCTCATTTTAAACCTTAAAAGACTTTGGGAAATTGACAGGTGATTAAGAACACCTATTAAGTTCTTAATAGGCTTTTTTTTTGACCATCCCCATTTACTCTTCTGAGCTTCCCTCATTAATAAACTTTGGATACATCTGTTAGGTTTATTTCTTTCAAATGATTTTATAGTATTTCTACTACATGTTTCAAGTCTTTCCCCTTCTTTAGTTTTTTATAAACTTTGTTATGATCATTTTTGTCTCCCTAAAATACAGTCCAGTTTGATATAAATCTAGGGCATCTTTTATTTTGGGGCAGGGGGATTCTGTTTGAGAATTCTGTCTGTGAAGATTTATTTATACCTTCTAATTTTATTTTTCATGTTTCAAGTCTAGGTTACAAATGCCTACTGCTTGCTATGTCTCCAAACCCATATACTGGAAAATTTCATTTCATATTCAAAATACCTGTAAATTTTATGTTCCATTCTGCCCAGTTTTATGGTTATTTTGTAACCAGACTATCAAGGAATAAATAATGTAGTTAGGATTTTTGCTACATTGCATGAATATATGGATGAGTTCAAGGAAAGCCATGCTTTTCTGGTCTTTTAGTTTTTCTCTTCACGAACAGCTTGCCCTTTCTCCATCAGTTTAGGTCACGTGGGCTTCAGAGTTTTTTCTATATCCTTGCACACCGTGTTTTACGTTCATTCCTGGGTTCACAGAGGCTCTGCTTCTCCTCAGAATGGCCTCTTCTTGCGGGAGTAGCTGTCCGTCTTCAGCTGATGCAGACAGACATTAATCGTGTTGACAAAGTGTGCTTGTACAGGCCCACAGCAGAACTCCTGAAACCCTAGTCATCTGCCGGCTCTCGGGTGGGGGGGCTTCGTCGCTCAGTGTTTATTCCTATCTCTGGTGTTTACTGCCTTGGTTAGACTCTGGAATGTTCAGGGTGCCAGCACTGGAAGCAGACATGCTCTTTATGGTCTTTTATGGTCAAGCCACACAAGTTTGGAATAAAAAAGAAAACCATGTATGATGGGTTTCTTGTAAGTGATATCTGGTTAAGAACGATGGCTTATTTTTTTTTGTTGTTGTTGTTTGCTGAAGGTACTAGTGGGGGTAGGAATGATTGTCATTTTATTTCATTATTTATTATAGATGCTTTTCCACTTCTTTTTATCTATCTGTTCATTTTTTTAAAAACCCCTTTGAAAATATCTTGAATTCACCAATACATTTTGGTACTACTTAATTAGTGTTATACTGCTAGGATACTTATTTTCTCATACTATGTAACTCTTCTTAGACTAGATTTTGTTGGATGGTATTTACTCATGTTTTTAAAAAATATGTAAGACTAGCATGTACATGGCAATTCTGGTGCTAACATCCTTCTTTTAATTGAGTTTGTGCTCTTCTCGTTGTACGGTTTCGATGTAGCCTCAGTGAGAGTTTGGGGAGCCCAGGCTCTTGGAGGGCACACTCCCTCCTGCTCACATCTTGGTAATCACTGCTGCGTGGTCTATGTTCTTTCTAGACCACTACATACATGGAGTTGATCTTCCCAATGAGGTTACAATGCTGTCGTCGTCACTTGATGTTGAAGAGGCATATTCAGGCCAGCGAGTCTTATGGTGAGACTATGGCTAAATTTCAGCTGACAAATGTAAGTGGCTTCGAACAGAGATGGGCACAGACCATGCAAGCAACGTCTATTGCCTGCACTTAAAGTTTATTAACATACTGTTGAACATAAACAGTCTCAAATCCTCACTTTATTTTCTTTTAAACGTATTTATTTCTAGCTTTTTAATCAGAGTGTGCTCAAGATACACAGAAGTGCACTCTCACCAGGTCCTGGCTGGAGCTATATCATTCAGCTACACAAACCACCAGCTTGTGGACAGTGTTCTCTAGGCGGTGACTGCTCTTTCATTTCCTGACAGTTCAGACCCGAATAATCACACAGAAACTGTATTAATTACAACACTGTTCGGTCAATGACCCAGGCTTATTTCGAGCTAGCTCTTACATCTTGAATCATCCCCTTTCTATTAATCTGCGTATCACCATGAGGTTGTGGTTTACTGGTAAGGGTTCTCGGCAGCTGCCTGGCATCTCCTTGACTCCAACTGCTCTCTTTCTCTATCTCTGTTCATATTTCTCACCTTGGCTTCGCTCTGCTAAGCTATTGGCTAAAGCAGCTTCTTTATTAACCAATGGTAATAAAACATTTACAGCATAGAGAGGAATCCCACATAAGCCTCCTACCACTTATTTCTTCATTTACACATGTAAATTACAGATGTTTAATTTATACTTAGCTTGTGTAAATAATTTATGGGTGGTAAGAACCTAAAAGAACAAGCTTAAACAGATCATTCTCAGATGTGCTGAAGCTGTAAAAATGGGAGATCTTGTTCCTTCCCTTTTATACCTTCTCTAAATTGTTTCCTTCGTTGTTAGTGTTCACTCCCAGTTTCCCTCTCTCCCTGTCGAGATAACTTGTCATGGGGGAGTCCAGGCTAGTCATGAACTACTGATGCTCCTGCCTCTGTCTCCTCAGAACTGGGGCTGTATATGTCACCTCCCTGGATATCACCATTGTATTTTCCCTTAGGCCAGGTCTGTTTACTGTTAACTCTTTCTTTTTTTCCTTTCCATCCTTTCTGTTTTCATCTGTGACTTACCTATATTTCAGCGGTTTTTATCGGTTTTATTTTCCCCCTAGATTTTAAAGCTAAAAGCCAAGTTTGTTTCTGAACTTCAATAAATGCAGATTGGGCTATGACATTTTTAGGGGAAGTACAGTTTGATTCTTTTAGAAAGTTAATCTTTGATCATTTGTTATTATTTTTTTTTCAGTTTCAATCTTGCTTAAGACATACATTATTTATAAATAATTTCCACATGTAAAAAATTTTAATTTCCCTTAATAGGATTTAAAATCTTATTTAACTGCGGATTTTGAAGATTAATGTTTTGTGGCGAATGCGTGTGGCTCTGTATCTAGTTTCCACACAAGTGGCTTCCACATTTGTGTTTCCACAGACTGTCACTCACGCAGTGCCCCTTGAGTGCACACACGCCTGCGTCAATACTAGGTAACGCTGTGCTATGCAGGGTCTCTCCAAATGCTACTGTTCAAATGGCTCTTAACTGGTTCAGATTTGGAACTCGACTCTTCACTGTCTCCAACACTTTGGCTGTTGCTCTTCTTAGGGTTTTATCTCCCTGTGCGTCGACTTCTGCTCGATCTATGTCAGCCTTACTCATTCTGCCTCCAGCATCTCTCTTTCACTTTTAATGGCAGCATTTTTCACTTTTAGGAGTTAATTTTGTTAACTGGCTCATAGCATGTGTTTGTAATTATTTCATAAGCTCTTCCATTAGCTCTCTAAATATATTATTTCAATATCCATTATGATTGCTCCATTTTTGCTTACTCTTTTTGCTTGTTTGTTTTGGTTGTTTCTCATTGTGCCATCTCCTATTGGATTCTACACTGCACTAAGTTGGACTTATTTCCAAATAGTATTTTCTAAAAAAAAAAAAAAAAATTGTACTTGATTTGATTTTATGAAGGAAACAATTTAACATTTATTTAATTGGTTCTAGTTAAATAATTAAACTTAGGAGTCCTCTCTTCATTTAATCTTAAAGATTAGCTCATGCTAGTCAGACAGAACAGCAAGATGACTGCGGTCTGCTCGTGGAGTATATGCTGGCTCTTCTGTGGGCTGGCTGCCCCTTCCTACCATTGGCTATTGTCGGGGAGGGGTTGTGACAGGGTTTCTCTGTGTAACAGTCCTAGCTGTCCTGGAACTCACTTTGTAGACCCGGCTGGCCTTGAACTCACAGAGATCCACCTGCTTTTGCTTCCCAAGAGCTGGGATTAAAGGTGTGTGCCACTGTTGCTGGATGACCCCTGGCCATTCTTAATACAGATGCTGTTTAGTATTTCCATCAAGGACAGGTACCACACATAATGGTGGTTCTAACTCCTGGCCTAGGGTACATGGGCCTAGTTTGTGCAAGGACACCTGTAATGTTCCCCCATGAAGAAAGCCCTTAATGTCACACTTCCCAGAAGTGTGGCTGACCATCTGCACAATGTGCTGGTACCAAAGTGGCATAAAGCTTGTGGGCATAACCAACCATGATCTGATTTGACTTAAGGTCCATCCATGAGATGGAGCCTGTACCAACACTGCTTGGGTTGGTAAGAACCTGAGACTGGATAGGCCAGCGACCTGGGGGAGGGAGGAAACCAAATACCACTGTTCTGAGTGACGTCAGAGCTTGACTGTAGCCCTGGAGATTCTTTGTGTCTTTTCAGCATTTTTTTCTGCATTTTCCATCTTACACTAGTTCCCATCAATAGTGTGGCTGATGCTAGCTGACACGGACTATACATTTCTCTAGGCTGAAAGCCCCTTCCTCCCTACGTCTGTTTTCCCTGAACACAGAGTAAATGCCATAAATTATGTTCTTGGTAATTTAAAAAAAATATTTATTCATTTTTATGTGCATTGGTGTTTTGCCTGCATACGCATGTTAGGAACTGGAGTTATAGACAGTTGTGAGCCACCACATGGGTGCTGGGAACTGAACCCAGGTCTTCTGGAAGAATAATCAGTGCTCCCAACCTCTGAGCCATCTCTGCAATCCTGTTCTTGGTCATTCTAAGCAGTTATGGGTGTGTTTGCATCAGGAGGAGTAGAGACCAGTCAATGTATTTTGTTACAGAATTTCTTACCAGTCTTCAGTCCTTGATCTCAAGACCGAATTATAATAACAGCTAAACTCTCACTTATTTAAGCAATGTAAGCCATTAGGAATTAAAACTAGAAAACGTTACAGCAGAAGCCCATGCCTGCTACTAATCTTGAGTGACAGTTTGATTACATGTCAAGTAGCTCTGGAAATCTCTATATATTCATGGCAGGCAGTGAACAAGGCAGATGGTCTCTTTGTTTTATATGTATATTGTAACATATATATATATAACTTAACTTTTGTGATCTCCTGGAAAGACCATGGAGATACAACCCAAAGGGTTCTCAGACCACACTTTTGAGACTTATTAAATGAAACTAGCTTAGTTACACAAGAAACCAGTTGTTGTTTGAGTCAAGTGTCTGCTCTACAACCATCTCCAAAGATTTTATGTGCTGTAGGCAACCTGGGTAGGACAGACCAGGATGGAAATGGAACAGACTTGAGCAGGGGGAATACAGCAAGGCGAGAATGCCACGTGTAACTGTTAGGGTGTGCCTGTCCTTGAGTAAGAACCTGCTGACATTCTGATGAAGAACAGAAGTGCAGTAACTTCCCCCTTCTAGAATGCACACTCTAGGGACACTCGGAGCCATGCGAAATTTGACCAATGAAAACACAACCGCAAAGCTGTTGCATATGCACATATACGTGTACATACATACGTATATGTGTGTGTGTGTGTGTACCCTACATGAATAACATGGCGTATCAAAGAGAGAGGGAGGTGTTCCCTTTCAACCTCTGTATGACTCCCATAAGAACAGCACCAGGGTCTAATACACATAATCAGATACATACTCGTCATGGACAATAGTGGGGCCATCCCGGGTTAAGGCCTCTTCCTTAATGACGTTGATCAGCTCAAAGGTACTGCTTATGGGGGCATCCGGGTTAGGCCACTTGGGGCACTGAAAGTGCCGAACTTCTAGTACATAGTCATCCTGCAAGCAACAAAAGAGAATCATAGCTCCTCTCCTCTGGTAGTTCCCATGTCTGTAACCAAATGGCTGGAGCCTGCTCCCTAGAAAGCATCTATCACAGGAAATGCTAAACAGTGTTCAGTTGCCTAAACTGCACGAGACCCACCGGTCATCAAAACACAGCACGCCAGTCAAGAGTAGGCAAACAGAACAAAACAAAAACCCTGTAAGAGACATTCTGCCCACTATCCTAACTTTGACTTGTAACAGAAAAGAAAGAAGAGAGGGCTTAGGTATCATTTAAACTGCTGACACACACGGAATGTCTCTTATCCTTCTAGGAAGAGAGCTATTATATGTGAAAACAGTGTTTATTAAGGTGTCATGGTGTCTTCTTTACACATTGCAAGGCTACAGTCCCGATGTCAAAGCAAGCAGCATTTCTCTGCTGTATTGAATATTATTATTATTATTATTATTATTTTGGTTTTTCGAGACAGGGTTTCTCTGTGGCTTTGGAGCCTGTCCTGGAACTAGCTCTTGTAGACCAGGCTGGTCTCGAACTCACAGAGATCCGTCTGCCTCTGCCTCCCCAGTGCTGGGATTAAAGGTGTGTGCCACCATCGCCCAGCTGAACATTATCTTATACACTGTCTTTATCATTAAGCCCGAAAACCTCCTAGTGTGCACGCTGAACCAGAGTCTGCTGCATTTCATCTACCCAATTGGAAAAGGCAACTATTTGAAGGAAGGAAAAACAGAAATGCACATATTTAAAGTTAGTCTTACTTAAACAGCCGAGCCTCTCTCAAAGGTAGCAAAATCACTTTAGTATATTATTAATTAAAAGAGGATATGGGGCCCACGCTGGGCAATTGCCGAGGAAATGTGGGTTAAGTTACCTGCGTAGCTTCAAGGATAAAGTCATGGATGATAATCTGTTCTTCGTTAGAGAGGCACAGCCTATCTTTGCTGATAAGGGTGACAGTGAAGGCCTCACAGTTCATGGATTCTTCTCGACTTGGCCAGTACACAAACTCGTCCTCGGCCTTTGGGGACCAGGAAAATAAATTATCTTACCGTGTTATCAAATATTTGCTTCTCAGTTTTCTTGCAAACTGACCCATCATGTTTGTCATCTTCCAAACCACTCAACTTACCCTTTAAATTGATTTTATAGAATTAATCCTCCATCTGGCCAGTTTCAATGTTACTGCCGCCTATCACAAATCGCACTTTGGTAATAGCCATTTCATAGCGTCTTTCTCTCATCATAGCAACCCCAACTCTGCTCTGCAGAGGGGGCACAACCCCTTGGTGACAAGTGCTCTCAGCGTATGACAGACATGGCCAAACCACTACAGTGCATTTAGTTTTGTTATTCTACAATCACTTTTATTTATACTTGATGTTACATCATTAGTAATGATGTTTAAAACGTAAGTTTTGTGTATTTTTGAAATATAATACATGTTATAGAAGAGATAATAAAGTTTACCAAAGTCAAGTAACTTAACAGATTATCAATTTTCATATATATACATCTATATGCAAAATATATATGTAAAAATATATTATGTATTACTTTTGTGGCAACGGCTATAGTATCATTTACCATAAATGCTAAGTATACTACAATTTTATTTTTATAATTCTTAGACGGTACATGAACTCTAGATGTCTTCATTCTACAGAAATCTGTAGTTTGTGTCCTTCAGCCTACCCCTGCCCCTGATTACCATCTTGTTAGCTCCATATCTTTTGTGCTTTCTTCGTAGGATTGTAGAATGCTTTCTTCCTGTGTAGGAAGCCTGTGTAGGCTTGTTTAACTTAGCTCAGTGCTCTCTGAGCTCAATCTGTGGTAAAAAGTTGACCTCACTCTTTCCCAGGGCCAGAAAACGTGCCTCTGTATAGACACTGAGGTTGTTTGTCTATTTTGACTGTGGTGCAAAATGCTACAGAAAACACTGGGGTACAGACATGATGCTTATCTTTTTGGCAGGAGTGTGTGCTCAGCAGGTGTTTTATATTTCTTTAGTAACTTGAACAGTATTTTCTGTATGGTTGTATTAGTCTATATTCCAATGTATAATGAGCTGTCTTTCTTTCCTTTTTCTTTAAAGACAGATATAGACCTTAAACATGCTGTAGATAGGCATTTAACTTGCATTCATTTTCCTAACTCTGCCTTCCCAGTGCTGGGTTTACAGCCATGTTGTATGACACCAGCAAGAGTTACTATTCTTCCTTACCAACATTTGCTATTCATTGTTTTTTTTTTTAAGTCACCCCATTTGATAGGAGGGGGCATTTTATACAATGATAGAGATATGAATAATTTGCATTAGTATAGATTTTGCTTTATTGATAGAGATTTAAGGTCAGTTTTGTTATATGTATATGTATTTCTGATCTTTATTAAGGTATTGTGATTGTGTAGTTCATTTAAAAATGTAATGTATATAGGTTGTTAATGGATAATCATTAATAATAGTCAAGTTTGTAGTCATGTTAGGTAGATTTTCTAGATATATAGATATATATTT